TAGTACCAGAGCTTCATGGTCTCAGGACCACTTTACATTCTTAAAAATTATTGAGCCCAAAGAGCTTCTGTTCATGTGAATTGCATCTATTGAGATTCACCATATTACATATCAGAAACTGAAATTTACCATATTATAAATCAGGTTTTAAAATATGTATTAAGCTAAAAGTAATCAGCTAAAGAAGCCTGTCTGAAAAGGTTACATGATTCCAACTGTATGGCATCCTGGAAAAGGCAAATTAATTGATAGTAAGAAGATCAGTAGTTGCCACTGGGCTCATCAGAAGGTATTTTAAATACTGGGAAGCTAGGAAGTCCACGGTGGTCAAAATACAATTTTCCAAAATTCTAATTTTTATTGGAAAACTTGAATTTTACCATTGACAACAAATGCTCTTTATTGTTTCCCTTGAAATGATAGGCTCACTTCATTCTCAAGAAAATGCCTGCCAAATATCCAAATGGAATAGAACAGTTTGTCAATAATTCTCAAGTAAAAAAGTTTTATGAAAAAAGTGGCTTCTTCAACTCACAATTCTAACATTTTTGCACAAATGCTTGTGGTCCAGACACCCCCAGCTGTTCTGTGTGCAGCGCCCCCGCTTTATGTGTGCTTCCCGCTTCATCACACAGAATGTTGAGACACCGACACAGGTGTTGAGATGTAAGACCTCTGATAATTTTTTGTTCCATCAAGGACATCCTTACTAAGTGAAACTGGCTTTCTTTCTTTCTTTCTTTCTTTCTTTCTTTTCTTTCTTTTCTTTCTTTTCTTTCTTTTCTTTCTTTTCTTTCTTTTCTTTCTTTTCTTTCTTTCTTCTTTATTTCACTGCAAGAGCCTGGGAGATAAAGACACAGTTTGTTCTGGTGCCACTACCTTGTGTGCTAAGGTACCAACAGGTTTGCTCATCATCGTTGGGCCATCAGTGAAAATGTGAACACCCTGAAAAGGACCATGTCTTAGCATGATTGTGAGGTGGCTTTGACTTCATGACTGCCGGAAACAGCCTTGGCGACTTCCAGGGCCTGCTGACCACACTCTGAGAACTGGCAGGGCCTAACTGTAGTGGTCACACCGGCATTGTAAGAATTGTCTGTTTCCTGGATTGACCAAATGGAAATGTAACAACTTGCATTTTTGGTTCTAGGATTCTTTCAATGGAAATTCTCTTTCAAAATTAAAATCATATATGCAAACTGAAAACCAAGGAAGAATAAAATGAAAGGTTAGCATTAGAAATACCTGAAATTCATAAATTATTATATTTAAAACTGGACTTTACACTTGAGTGCATGGACCTGATTTTTATTTAAGAAATAGTTGCATTGTGTCTTAACTAAATATTTTATTTGTATTTCTGTAATCTCCGCTTATATTACTGCCCTTTAGTAATTGAGTCTGCATTTATCTGAAGAAATGCTGTATTTTCTTGCATTTTAAAAATTATTTTGTATAAAAACCACAGTCTTGCATTTTTTACTGAGACTTTCCTGCAGGAATCTTTACTGCTAAAAGGCAGTGTTTCCACTAGTTTGTGTCAAATACTTAGGGGAACATTGGCAATTTATTGAGTCAATTTCTGGAGTAGAGCACACTCTAGATTGAGACCACTATATGGGCCCCTTGTCTCTGGAGACTGAGGTGGTGCTTTTCAGGTGAGGTGCAGAGCTTCAGTGCTTGAACTCATGTGATCAGTTTCCCACTGCTCATCATGACACCCTGAGAAAGATAAATTTAAGAACACTCTGGACCCACAGTGAGTGCAAAAGGCCAAGCAGGTAACCGGCATGTGTCCTTGAAGATTCTATGTATATGTATTCTGTGGACATAGAATTAGACCTGTGATTAGATCAGACAGCCTTTTAATCACAAATGTGTCAAACGTATTCTCACATTGGCCAACAGAGGGGGACACAGGCTATGAAATGTCACTACAGTACTTAGAAATGTTCACTGACATTGTATAGTCTAAGGTTGAGAAACTGAAGTGTGAAAAGAGTGGTTTGGGTTTGTGTTTGCTTGACCAAAATATTAATGTACAGAATATAATCCATGTGCTTAACAGCTATGATCATATCTGAACTTGAGGTGTGAATGTTATGATGTTGTCAAAAGTGAAAGCAAGTTGAGTTAATATCAATAATTAATGCCTATCAATTTGTATAAAGATATTAAGATTTCCATGAATATGAGGTAGAGAATTCAAGCTTTAAAAATTCAAGAGTTCTTGAACCTTTACAGCTTGTATATGAAGAACCAGTGCCTAGTTTTCACTTTGGTTGGGATATGTGATAAATCATTTAGATCCAAAATGTAGTCTGTTAAGAATGGCCAGATATTTTTTTTTCTCATAGATACATGACAAAATAACAGAAATTAAAATGGCTAATGCTCTTCCATCCTTAATCTTTGCTCCTTCCCAGCTCAAAAGCTAGATATTTACTACTGGTAAATATGTTTCTGTGTGTTTTCAAGTGCAAAAGCAGTCAAAATAAGATAGGTGGATGTGTAAATAAAAAACTTCGCACAATAAGTTAGTCCTTATTCATCTGGAACAATAAGGCACTGAGTGTTCTGAAACATTGAATATATCATTAGCTCAGAGTTATACACGATTTACTGCTTTTTAAAGAACAAGAAAAAATGTGTTTAACATTATAATTATAAATAAGTTAAATTTTCTTTGATTCCAAATGCTATTTGGAGTACAAAGAGCACGTTATCATTTGTAATGCTTATTATCAGAAAAAATTTATTTACTTTCTAGTGGTTTGATTGTGAATAAATGAAAGTAAATGATATTTGGCTTTAGGTGGATGGCTGTGTCTTTTTCTCTGAATATATTTCAATCAGTGTTGATGCTCTTTGAAATGAAGATTTCTTTCATTCATTTTCTACATACTCCTAGATTTCTGTTTGTCTACTAATGACTTTTAAACAGGTTTAATTTTAGCTTCATTTTACACACTGAAACTTTAATTTTTGGCCAAAACAGATTCAGTGAAATAAAGTGACATGGAGCCTAAAGGAAATGGAGACTCGACTCCTAAACCTCGTTCTTTCTGTAGGTTTCCTGGCACTGTAGTATCAGGGGTTCATTTTCTATAGCATAAGCTAGACAAAGTGGCAGCTGTGTTCAGCAGACAATGCGTGTTTACTAAGCAAAGAGCACAGATAACAGTCCGTAAAGAAAAAGGATAGGTAGGTAGCGTGACTGAAAGTCACAGATAACTTCCGAATCCAGTTCAATTGGTAGTTTTATCCATTCCCTCCTCACTCCCCCACGTTACTTTTCATAATTGCTAACCTAGAAAAAGACGACTTTGTGTTTTCTCCATTGATTTTTTTACCCCCTCTGCCTAGAATCAGGCAGAAGTACTAATGAGTAATGAAATAGCCTAGAGCAGACAACAGGGTGGGAAAAAAAATGAATTTGATTAATCAATCTGTCCTGAATAATCAAGAGGTTATAATAATATCTGTGATAAATATAAATGGTGAGATTTTACATTAAAACAAGACTTAATTTGGGACCAGTGTGTCTTAGAAAGGACCTTAATTACCTATCACTCTCTATCATCGTCTGTAATCACCTACCTTCTGCCAAAACTTCCAATCCAGCTGAAATAGAAAATGAAACAATTGTCTTAAAACCCTTTTCTCTTTCAGAGACAATGCACCATCCTTGTTTTTTGTCTGCCTCCCTGTCCACTCCTATTTTAGTCCTTTCTCTGACCTTCTTTCTTTGATCGTGGGCCCTCAAGATGCATGTCTTTCATTTCTTTTATATTTACATGAGACAAATTCTATCTGTTGGTTTCACCTGTCCCTTTGTGCCACCAAATCTATGTCTCTGGCCCTGAGACCTCACCAGGCTGTGAGCCTGTTATTCTGCCTCTGTTTTTGAGATCCGAGACCCCAAAGCTGATGTGCTCTCTGGTACCCGCCTCCTAGTCACCACCCTCGGGTTCTCCTCCTTCAGTGGTGTCTCTCCACGCCCCCTCTTCCACCTGATTTCTGCAGCCCTGGCTCAAGTCTGGGGTTTTACCCTCTTGCAGCCGCGCCTGACCTTTGTCACCCTCCTTGTGCAGCCTGCACTGCTCCAGTGGCCTCCAGATGGCGTTCCTGTCTTCCCTCCTCTCCACCTTTACCCTTTTCATCACACTGAAGCCACAGTGATGTTGTCAAGACAAATCCCACACCGTGTCAGAGCTTCCTCAGAACTAAAGGAGGGTCAGACACAACCTCCTCCTCTCCAGACTGGTCATGGCCTCCGTGAACTTGCCACCCCCTGGCTCCCTGACCTGCCATCCCTGCCTCTCACCCTCTACTCTGGAGCATTGCAGTAGATTGACAGTTGGTCTTTTTATTTAATGCTCTTCCTGAATTCATTCCTTGTCCATTAGACCAAGATCATACTTAGTCTGATATTAAACAATGTACCTAATACTTTTACCTTCAGTTACTCAGCATACCGTTACTTAGCTTCAGTAATGTCCCTTTCTTCACTATGCTGTCCCTCCCGTTCCTTCTGGCCCAAACCCCTTACACCTGCACACCCGTCTTACTATCACGACTCTCCCGCTCCCAGGCCTCTTTCCTCACTCCACTCTCCGCACCCGAAGTGCCCGTTCTGTTCCTTGCAGTGAAGTCAGCATTGACTTTGTTTTTCTTCCTTCTTTGAATCTACTTTTAAAAACCTATTTGGTTTTTCTTTTGTCTTTTTTTACTATATGAATTACCTCTGTTTTTATAATTTACTTTCTTTACGTTTACTTGTCAGTTATTTCTAGTATGCTTGTCAGTTTTCAAGATAATGCTCCATCTCAAGAGCTGACCCGGGTCTCATGTATGTCTTCTGGTAAACATGTTTATTCAATACTACAGAAGTAGTCAGTCACTGTTACTTGATTTGGAATTTAATGAATGTTACATTTTTCTTTGAACTCTCTGTCTTTGGAATATTTAATTAAGCTTTGTCTCTTTTTCCCTTGTAGAAAGTCATTTATTAAACAACATTCAACTTTGTGAACCTGAAGAATTTTGACCATTTCAAGTCTTAATGCCACACCACTACTGCAGCGAATTTATACTACGACTGGTAACAATGACCAGAAGCCTGAAGAATTAAAATGCCAACACCAAACCTTACCTTAACAGCTCTGGTCTACACTGTTCCCTTGCATTTTAATATATTATTTTGTTTTATAACCACTTCTAAATATGCTTGGTTCTTTCTTTCTTTTCTTTTTCTTTCTTTCTTTTTTTTTTTTAAATTAGGGAGTTTTCTTCCCTGTTTACTTTGTGTACAACTACCTGCTTTGTATGACTCATTTTTGATCCAATGATAGTGAACAAAGCCAGCCCCAGCTGGTAAGGTGCTGTTCACTTGAACAGGTGCTGTTGTGCGGAAAGGAAACTCTGTGACTAACTTAGACAGTGGCTTTCCTTCTTCCAGATTCTTCCCGCTGAATTCCCATTGAATTCCCGTAAATATTGACAGTTTTCAGATTGCAGTAAACATGCTGTATGAGAAAATATTAATACAGATTAATGGCATTTCTTACATCTCAAAAATTTTCTAATGTTTGAGAAATTCATTGGGGATATTTTTTATATCGCACTCTTATTGACTTTCCAGTCCTGTGACTTTTTACTGTTCGTAGACGGTCAGAGACTGTCCAGACTGGAGAATTAGGAAGAAGTCCGCCGACCACGCACTGTGTAGAGACCCCATCGTGCGCAGTGCCGGCGCTTCCCAGACGCACGCTCTTCGGCAGCATTCCAGGACCAGGAGGGAGGAGACAGGAAACTGTGTCTTCCCTTCGACTAAAATGTTCAGGCAGCTTAAAACCTTAGTGCTTTCTTTCTTAACATGTCCATATTTCAATACTTTCCGCTGTTGGAACATTTGGGTAGAACACTTGCTTTGTATTAAACCTCCTTGTCGACATGTAAAACTGGCCTTTTGTTAATTGAGCAGGTCTGTCTCCTCCAGAGAGGAGTTGGATGATCCACACAGGTTGGAGGACACTGGGGAGGGGAGGAGGTAGGGGCTGTGGCGGTGTTCTGATGCTTAAAAGAAAGCTAGACCATTTAAAGCTCACACGAGAGACCTGATAGGGACTTATTAACTGTATTGAACATTTTTTCCTTTGCTTTTGACCCTATGTATAGTTATGATGCCAGATTAGATTTATAGCAGCTTCAAGTTGTATTAAATGATATTTTGCTTTCTGTAATACTGTTATAAAATAAAGTTGGTTTATTCTCTAACCTTGTCATTTCTCTCTTTTATAAAGATTTAAAAAGATAAACTCAAGTGATATTTTCAGTCAGGAGTCCTGTTATTTTGTGGGATGTAGCATTCTTAAAATCTGTCATTCAGATCTCTGATGAGTTGATGCTGCTGCCAACATCACCGATTTCAAAGGGCCGGGGCAGTGTTGAAAGTTTGTAAATCTAATTTGGAATGCCAGACTCCCTCCGGCTTGGTTGCATAATCACCTGCAGCTTTTACAAATCCTCCCAAGTGATGATTTTGCTTGTTATCTTGGTGTATTTTTTTGTCTTGATTTAGGAAACATGTAGCTGTATCGTCTGAAGGCTGCTTCTGTGTTTCACGTTGTGCTTTGCTTTCCACGGGGCCTCAAGGTATCAGGCTGAATGGGCTGTGCTGAAGGCTGTGGCTGTCTAATCGGGACCGTGCATTGTGAAGCTTTTGCCAAGACCCACCGCATTAAGTGCCAAATTTTCTTTCAAACATTAAAAGCATTACACAGCAAATGACCAACCAACAAGGGAATATTCCACTTAAAATGTTACATAGGATTCCTTTCCCTGGTCACTTAAAGCGAGCGTGTTAAATACAGTGTGCATGACTGCCTTCTTTGGAATCTGTCTCCACTGAAGGCTCTCTCCCCTGTGAAAGGTCTTTCTCACTTTCTCTAGAATGGTTGCAAAAACAACTCCTCCTCTCTGAAGAAGCCTATCTCAGCAAGCCAGGACTTAGAAATATTATGGAACCAAATGTGATTCTGTAAATATATTTTTCATCAGAAAGTTTATGTATATAACATTCATATTTCAAGCAGAGGTTGATCATGCCAGGGATTTTTTAGAACAGTATCCTTCCATGCTTCTCAAGACAGTTGCAGTGACGGGAAATGTGTGCATGGCCGCTCCAGTGGACTGGGAAATGCAGCGTTCAGTTAGGGCTCGGTCTGCCTCGGCCCAGAGAGCAAGGGCAGGGCACCCCAGAGACGCCAAGAACAATGTTGGCAATGTCACCCATTATTACAGCAGCAAGGTTGTCTTTTTTGATATTTTGTATTTCTAACAAAATACTTCTCAGGATGTTATAATCTTTATAAACTGAGCTTTCAAAACCCTAAATGATAGAATGAGAAAGTAGGTCAACAGGGTCACTGAAGTGAAACATCAAGGTGCTAATTATATATCGTAAGTTAAAAGCAACATAATTTGGAGGTGATAAGCAATAATTCCGTTTAGTTGCATGTGGTTTTTACAAGTATGTGTTATTTTACATGATTCTTGCAGCAGTCCTGTGTGGAATGCAGGAAACAGCAATTCATTTTCCACAGTCATGGCAGGGTCAAAAATAAGGTTTTCAAAAAGTTTGTAGGGTTGGCTTATCTTGGATACTTGACTCTCTTGAATAGATTCTCTTTTTGTTTATGATATATACTGTGGCATTACTTACTGCATAGACCAGAGTTCATGGAATAATTACCCCCAGGACTCTGGCAATGAAGCAAACTAGCCGTAACTACTGCCCAGCGTGGACTTCATTTAGCATATCTCTTCTAATGGATAAAATTATATGATGTCTAAGAATATTATATAATTGAGAATTCAAAATGATACAAAGGTAGGGAAGAGTAAGTCGTAGCTCAAATGAAAGATCGTCCATGAGTTAATAATTGCTGGAGACAAGTGGTGTAAATGGGGATTCATTATTTGTTAATTTCATTATAAAGTCTAAAAATGCCACAAAGCCCCATAATTCTAAACAAGTCTGTTATCCATGTCCTGTGAGTGCATACATTGTTCTTCATTGTATGGTGCTCGGCTCAATTTCCACTATGGTGTTAGACACCTTAGAGATTAGGGCATGTGACTGTCACTGCTGAGACAAAGTAGGGAACATACTCCTGACAATTTTTTCAGGAGTCAGCCCGGATCCTAGCATGCATGTGTCCAGATATTTGCTGGGATTAGGCCATGGTGGAGAGTAGGCCCCAGAAGAGAACATGACCCGCCGACAAATCCGAGATGGCAAACTCCTGACCCTTGGCCATGGGTTTATAAATAATGACCCTATGTATATTTATGATGCCAGATTAGACTCATGGCAGCTTCGAGTTATATAAAATATTTGCTTCAAATACACTGGCTTCAAAATTCTACAGGTGGGCATTTGAATCCCTTACTCCAAGTAACTGAGCCATGTGACTTTAAAGAAGACACTTAAGCATCTATAAAGTGAAGGTAGTAATACATTCCAATATGGGGGTATTCTGGTGGTTAAATGAAATAAAAATGCATAAAATACCTGGTGGAGTTCTTGGCACAAAAATGCCCTCAACAAAATGCTAGTCATTATGAGTTATAATACCGTGCATGAGTGAATCCACCAAGAGCAAATTCATGGGAGGCATCACCAGTCTGAGCTGTGTTCTTGCAAGGTCTTTCCATAACAGAATTCTGTACTGCTAGGGGGTCGCTGGGGAAGCCTGCTGCGAAGGATTTGGCTTTGGAGGAGAGTGGACAGACAGTGCCGAGCCCTGCGTTGTCGCGTGTGGAGGCAGCTAAGGTGGCTGGTGTAAGAGGCACAGATCCTTTCTTAACACTCCGGCTGCAGGCTTCTAACCCCAGGCTCCTGGATGGGTTTCTCGGGGCTGAGCTTTTCACTAATATTTGCAAAATCATGGTTGTACGCATTTTTCCTAGAGATAAAAGATGATTCCTGGCTCGGCAGAATTCTTAAAAGTATTACTACTTACTTAAAGGTTAGGAACCTCTGTTCTTAAGCTGGGTTTGGAAAGTGGATTTGCAAAATAGAGAAAGTAGAAAGAATATTTTAAAATTCGCCATCTGGGGGTGATCAAGGTTTTTTTGGATACATGTTTCTTGTTTAGGTTCTGTCACTCATTTGCCTGAGTGAATGCCATGGCGCAAATTCTGATAATGTCACAGGCCTCTTCTGAGCGCCCCACTAACTGTAAAGTCAGAAAGCAAGAATCCCAAGAGCATTTTGTTTTGAAAAACCAGAAAATTGATTTCACAAGTATGTATAACAGTTATGAACTGTGATTTCTGAGGAACAGTTTTGCCAAAGAACTCAAAAATTTCAGGAAAAAAGCAGTTGTTGGTGTACGGAACTGTTTATCTGTTCTTGATTTCCCAGTTGCTACTAAATTCTATCTAGAAACTAGTGGAGGCTGTTCCCTGGTCAGATAATTCTAAATAAGTCTTTATTTTGTTTAAAAAAGGGTTGTAAATTATACTTTAGGGAACTAAAGTATATTTATGCTCTTCCTCATGTTATGTTTTATCTACTTGTACAGGTTCAGGATGTGAAGCAAAGGTCGACTTCCAGTTTCCTGGAGCCAAATTTCCAAATTACCAACCCTGTTACCAAGAGAGATGTGCAGATAATATTAGCAATTTTAGGTTAGCCCTGTTTTAAAAAATTCTTTGATTAATTTTCATTGACTAACTGGCAACATAACAAAACTTGAAGTGTCCATTAAAGTCTTTTATTGAAGGTGTCGTGTTGGGGAAACAGAATTGGTAATTCTTTCGATACAAGAACATTAGAAATAAGATGAGGAACTAGTGAGGTGAGACCATGTAGGGCTGTGAGAACATTTCTGGCCCCTGGGTAAGAGTAATACAGAATAATGTAAGAAGACGACAGGCCTGGTCCAGGCGGCAGCCACGATGAAGAGCCAAAGCAGTCCAAGCTGGAATGAGGTCAGTTTTAAACAGGACTGAGCACTGAAGGGTGAAGACAAAGCCGTGTGGGCTGCGCTCTATAAAGCACTGTCAAATTGAGTAGTAGCGCCCGCAAGCAGATTATAGTGAAACCCTTGGGCTTGGTCGCTCCGTGGGAAAACTAACGTATTTCTGTTCCTGTCTACATATAAAGACATTCACGGCTCTATTCATGATTTCATTGGAAATTCCTTGCTCTCATTCTACGCAACAGCAACAAAAGAGGTAGGCCTTGCTTTAAGCTACTTGGTTATGCTTATCACCGAAAACATGAATGTTTAGAGCTCATCTGCTTTCACTGTAGCTGGAAAGGCAGGGATGGTGGAATGGCATCCGCTGAAGCCAAAAGTCAAGCTACCGAAGTGCTTGTCTCTGGAAGGTGAACGCTGGTGGCTGAACCACAGGTTTGACTGGCAGCTGGAAATACGATGCATCCTTCCACACTTTCTGTTCCAAAGAGCATTTTTACATAAGCTGATTTCCATCAGGGGCTAAAAAGAGATCCCTCCCAGAACTGGAAGAATACTGTTCTTCCTTCCATATGGCATGAATACTGTTATTCTAAATTACCCCAGTCTGAAAGCCCCAGCAGACATTTTCTTTGTAAGCAAAGGCACTAAAATACAGGAGTGAGTGTCTTCAGTCAAAGGGTGAGTTTCATATTTTTCAAGAAGTGCAAATAGAGACCAATAGCTCAGTGGATACATATGAAGAGTTTGAGGGTAGGGGGAAGAAGCAGAAAATATCCAGCATTGGTGGTGGGTTCCTGCATTTTTTTTATCATCCATATGGTCTTTCTTACAACTATGTCACTGTGGAAATTGGTGCATTTTTTACAGGTGTATACATTGTTTTATAAAGTTAATCACTCTAAAAGCTTGTTAGATTCATATACAAATATTGAAATATAAACAGAATGACACTAAGGACATGTTAAGTATCTTTTGTTCATGTTAATTAGAAAAAAATAGTAATTACTATTTTAACTACCACTTTGAATTAAATATTTAAGTTTCCTATGTTGGTTGGTTGGGGTTTTCACTGAAAGAGGATTCTGCTAGGGAAATGTTAACTTCTTTCCTATTTCCATTCAGAAATAGCTCTCTGATGTTTTGGCTTTAAAGGCAAAGTCTTGAATTATTCTCCTCACAAGTGAGGTGAACATTCTGCTC